ATGAATACCATAGTAATGCTCAGGTGGATTCCTAACTCTTGTGGAACGCCTCATAGGTACGGACTCATCAATAGGAGTTTCGTCCAGAGGTTGATTGCTAGGGTTTGAGGTTCCTTCACCACTTGACTCTTGAAGTTCTTCAAGATCAATTTGCCTCCCATTGTTCCCTTGGCTTATAAATTCTCTCTCTCGAAAGACCCCTGTCCTTGACACAAAGATCATATTCTCACTGGGTCTGTAGAAGAGGTAACCAAAAGAATTATGTGGGTAGCCGATGAAATTACACCACTCACTACGAGGTTCGAGCTTATCCTGAGTCTCACACCTCACGAAAGCCTCACAACCCCAAATCTTGATGTGGTCAAATTTGGAACTTTCCCAGTCCACATCTCATGAGGTGTTTTGGCAACCTTCATGGTAGGGACTAGATTAAGGATATGGACGGCAGTCTCTAAGGCATACCTTGAGAATGAGATTGGTAACGAAGCTCGACTCATCATGGAACGAACCATGTCTAACAAGGTTCAATTGCGCCTCTCAGCCACACCATTGAGCTATGGTGTCCTGGGAGGTATCAATTGTGAAACAATTCCACATTCCTTAGGATAGTTAAGGAACTTTGTACTTAGATACTCTCCTCCTCGATCGGATCGGAGCATCTCAATGTTCCTACCTAGCTGATTCTCCACTTCCTGTTTAAACTCTTTGAACTTTTCAAAGGTTTCTGACTTATGCCTGATTAAGTAAACATAACCATATCTATTGTAATCATCATTAAAAATCACATAGAAGTGGTTAGTATCCTTTGTGGCAGTTCTGAAGGATCCACACACATCTGTGTGTACAGGGTCCAACAAACCTTCACCCCTAGAACAAGTACCAGTGAAGGGTGACTTTGTCATTTTTCCAAGCAAACAAGACAAGCAACTATCATCTGACTTTAAGTCAAATGACTCCAAGACTCCAACCTTCTAGAGTTGGCATATATGGTTCTTGTTAACATGTCCAAGTCGACAATGCCACAAGGATGATTTATCCAAACTAGTGGAAGAATCAATATGTAATACATTATTTCCTAAGTTGTCTACAACCGAAATAGTTTCATATACACCATCACAAGGTAATGCTTTAAAATAAAGAACATTATTATAAAAAGCATTAATACCACCAACTTCATTATCAAATGAAAAAGTAAATCCTTGTTTGTACAAACCATGAAAGGAAATAATATTTATCGCCATTTCAAATGAGTATCAACACTTATTCAAATCTAACACTAACCAACTACTTACCAACAAAGAATAAACTCCAATCTTGGTGACAGGTGAAGCTTTCCTATTCCCCATGATCAAGTTTAACTTTCCATGCTCCACATCCTCACTTCTTCTTAGGCCCTACAAATCAGAACATGTATGAATATCGTAACCTGTATCAAGAACCCCAGAAGTAGAATGCAATGAGTTATTAGACAAAATAGTGTAAATAACTAAATGGGTAGGTTTGACCTTCCCATCCTTAACATCTTATAGGTACTTGGGACAGTTTCATTTCTAGTGCCCTTTTTCCTGACAATAGAAGCATTAAGCTTCCTTTGGGTTGGAAGAAGGAGTGAGAGAACCACCTTTGGTTCCACTTGAAGAGAAGCCATCAAGAGACTTTCCATTGGTACCCTTCGAAGGGGTCTTCCTCTTTCCCTCTACTTTGCCCAATTGCAAGAACAGGGGCGGTGTTAGGAGTAGGATTAGTAACAACCGATTTACCCTTGTGATCGTTTTCTACGGTCTTCAAAAGTCCTTGAAGTTTGCTGAGTGTGGCCTCCTCCTTTTTCATGTGATAGGTCATTCGAAACTGATCATAACAAGTAGTTAAGGAATGCAGTATGATATCAATAGCCAACTCCTCCGGGAAGTTCACATTCACCTTCAGCAGACGATCCACAAACCTTTGCATTTTCTACATGTGGCCCGTGATGGATTCACCATCCTTCATTCAGGTTGTTTTCATGGAAGAGATGATTTCATACCTCCCTTGACGAGCACTTTGATGGTAGCGGTCCATCAAGTCCATGTGCATCTCTCTCAAATGCCCTAAAGTTAGAGATCTCCTCTAGAGTAGCAGTAGACTCATCAATTTCTTTCAGCTCCTTGTCGAGGACATATTCCTTGTCCTCGTAATGTGTGACCATCCTGATCCAATCATTAAAGTTTGAACCATCAAAGATGACTCTCCCACAAAGGTTCATGAGAGAGAAGAAGCATTATTGGAAGACATCTGAAAAGAATAAAGACAAGTTTAGATTAGATATAGGATCCTTAATAAGACACCAAAATGAAATATTAAGTCTAGGACCAAACACGATACTATATAACTTGGAATAGGGATGTCGTAATCCAAGCTATAAAATATTTGAAGGTAGGCGAATGACGATTCACCAATTTCCACAATGAAAAACGAAATAAATTGTTAGGTTTTAATTGGATTGAAACTCCTAGATTTTTTTGAGATTCATTGAGATTTTCAATGACATGTTTAAATCTCGATTGTGCCCTCTCAAGTTTGTAACTGGGATGCCGAGGATCACAAACAAGATGTGAATAACCATGCAAATTAACTTTGTACCCTTAATCTTTATCACCTAATCAATCTGTCGGTTACCCACACGTGCTCCACCGATCTATGATAAAGATTAAGTCACCCTTTGCCACTCTTACTAGTCCATGTTAGTGTGTCAGTTACCCACACACGCTCCACTAACGACTTTGTAAGGTACAAAGTGTAATTTCATGGGATAGCACCAATTTCACATTTTCCTAAATTAACTAAGATTGGGAATTTAAAAAAAAAAAAGTTTAGTTACTTTTTATTTATCATTATTCTTTTAATGAGAATTATAGTCTTTGTCCTACCCGTTCAACTAACGACCCTCCACCAGTCAAGGAAGTGGTGGGTGAGAGTGGATACCCATTAATCTGTCATTTTATAGGCAACAACCTTATACCCCCCTAATAGATCGACTTCGTGAATGAGGCCTACTAACAAGAAAACTGACTTGCTCTTATACATACATACATACATACATACATACATACATACATACATACATACATACATACATACATATATATATATATATATATATATATATATATATATATATATATATATATATATATGGAAGAGTTATATGGAAAATGAATGATTAGGGCAACACATATTTGAACAAATGAAAAACTGACAACACATCACTTCCACAATAACATCCACAATACATTACTTGTGAAGAAAGAAATGGACACGTGTCATTTGATTATTGGTTCCGGTAGATGTTGCCCTAGTTATTTGTTTTCCATAGAACCCATTCCTATATATATATATATATATATATATATATATATATATATATATATATATATATATATATATATATATATTATTAACTTATAATATAAAGTGTAAGGGTTGAATTTTAACTTTAAAAACTCCAGGGTATGGAATTAAAGTTTTCTAAAGAGACTTTACAAATTCCAAAACCTGAGGGCAAGTTTTGAAACTATTCAAAACCTTTCATATTCATAACTTATGAGTTTAATGGTTTACTAAAATGAAGACTCTTCATTTTATGTAACCTATGGTTCTTTAATGACTATTTAAAGAAGTGACTTTTTGTAATCCATAACTTGAGGATGAATTATGGACTCCATCAATAACATTTAGATAAAGAATTACATCATCAAACAATTTGCACATAATTCATATGATCTTTCTAAAACTCATAAGCATGAATATTCATATCAACAATTTCAAGAATCATATAAACACATATAAAACTTGAAATTTTGATAATAGCCATTGAAAATGGATTAGCATAATCTTTACACCATCAAAAACATGTTTTATAACTCCAAAACAGTTTAGGGTAATGATTCTAGTCCATTTCCAACAGCAAAACTGGAAAATCTGCACACAGGAGCTCCTACTCGCCGAGTGCAAGAACCTACTTGACGAGTAAGATGCATTTTCGCTTGGACTCGTCGAGTCCCCCCATGGACACGGCGAGTCCACTGAATAATGGGTAGGAAATTTGATTTTTTCAAGCATTTTGCATCAAATATAAAGAAAGCAAGCCTAGGCTCTAATACCACTGATGGGTTTTGAACATTATAATACTCCTGTGATGTACATGCAACCCTAGAAACCTTGGATCTATGTTTTCTCTAATACTCATGCAAATTTGATTTTCCAAGGTTTTCATCCTAACTAGCATGGCATGAGGTACTTATAATATAAAAAACAAGTAGAATGGCATACCTTTCTTGTAGCTTGGATTCCTTAAGACCTTGTGAGTGTAGCACCCTAAATGTGATGACTCAAATGTTTCACACAACACCACAACTCTTGGAATAATTTGAGAGAAGAACACTTGATCACAAAATCGGCTTGCCCTCACCCTTTTAGTCTTAGTGTCGATTTTGCTTGCCATGGGGATCTTCATATAGTGTGCCATATGTAGAGTTACACCATTTCCAACATGATCCATGGGTATTAACCTCCATTGAGAATCCATGGAGCACCCAATGGGTCCTAGCCCAATCTAGTGAATCATGAACCATAATCCCACTACATAAGAATGAATGATTTACAAATAAATCCCCATATATTTAATTAGTCTCTTTTTATCACAAAATTAGTTCTAAATTAATTCTTGATCAATACTAATTAAATAATATATTAGAACTTATAATATATTAACAAACCATCAGTGTCATTTTTATCATTTTGTCTATCCAATTATTATGATGCCTTGCAACCCAATTGACCATGCCAAATCGGGTCAAGTACATACTAATTATAGTTATGAACTTAGACACCTTATCCAACAGGGACACCCTGGTGGTAACTAGTTTTCATGGTTATGTTTAAGATGACACTTAGGCCCAGTATCAACCAAGCAAGAAGTTGAAGTAAAGGAAGTTTGAAGCCTTCAAGAGAGCCCTTCGGGCATGAAAAGCAAGACAGACTCAACAAAAACAACAAACAGAAGAAGTTAATCATCAACTTGCAGTCTATTGAGAGAACTTCCTTTATAATGCCAAAAATACTTATGACTTGGAAACAACCTGGAAATAGGTAGAATAGATGGAGAACCAACAAGGAGAGCCCGTAAAGTTACAAGAAATGATGTGAAAGGTTCAAGACATGTTCACACACCAACTGAAGTAAGAGACGCTAAAGGCGATGACACCAAAGTGGAACTTAGCGAAGAACAAATCTTTGGATTCGATTTGGACGATAAAGAGGATGAGATACAAAATCAAGGGAATGATGAAGGCTTCCCAATGTTTATTAAAGAGGAAGAATCAAGTGGATCTCATCAATATACTTCAAATACCAAGAGTAAAAAGATGAAGAAGCCAATTGTGTCAGGAAAATAATTCTATGAACTTAAAAGAAGAATAGACAAATCCTGGCTGCAGTCACAAGTTCTTAGCCACCACAAACTCCCTCTTCTACTAAACTGTAGCCCTTGGAAGAACGAATCATAGAGATGGGTATTCGATAATTAGATATACAATGTCTACAAGATCATAAACAAGAGAAAAGATCCAGTGGACTTAAACCGCTTCGTTGTACGTTGGGACTGATCTGAAGCCTGACACTGCTCCTTTGTCTGGATCTCTATTTCAATCTCTCATCTCATCGCGGCATCTTGAAGCTCTTCGAGAGTGTTGTATTATCGGGTACACACAAACTACCAAATGTCCATCTTGAGCATGCTCAAATACCGAGTCATCTGAGCTTTCTCTAAAGCAGCAAACTCAGGACTAAACAAAGCCCTCTCGGTGAACATTTTGGTGATCTCTGTCACTTAATCGGTCACATGTATCGGATCCAGGTACTCTTGGTACAATCTATCCCTCTCTACCAGGGGAACATACCTTGAACGGAACATCTTCGTGACTTCTCCCAAGTCATCACAGCCCTCTGCGCAGGAGTATAAGAGTTAGTCACCAGTCTCCACCACTCCCTTACTCCTAACCTGAGAAGGTTCCGGGCGCACTTTACCTTCTGGTTATCTGGAGAAGAACACGTGAAGAAATAACCCTATACATCAGACAACCATATAATCGCCTCAATTGAGTCCAACACCCCATCAAACTCTAAGGGCTTCGTATTATCGAAGTCCTGATACTGGAAAGCTCTCTCCTCGAGATCCAATTGCAGGAATAGATGTGATAGCTGCAACAACAACAACCTCAGAAAGTCCACCAAGCGATCATCAAATAGCTCAATCATGGCAGCCTTGACCATCCCGAACAACTCTGTTGTAAACTCCCTGATCGCCTTGGCCGCTTCTATAACAAGGATTCGATGAATATCCTCCTCACTCAGACTAGCTCTCCAAATGCTGCCAACTCCTAATTCAAGACCTTCAACATTCACTGTACTGAAAATACACCAAGAAAAGATCAGTCATCACAACACAATGATCAACACATCAGGCCACTCCTATTAGTTCCTTTGCAGTCTCAAAGTTCCTCCTAAATCTCATACGGATCATGTGTTTTCAATAATACGGTCCCATACTATCTTCCACACATATCCATAGCTGATTCAGAATTTATCTCAAGGTCCTAAGTCACTATACGAAGCCACCCCTAGGTGTGCTAACACCCACTTCTCCTGCAAGCTACAACTAACTTCCTAAGCACTCTTCCAAGGATTACCCTCTCTCCTGCACCATTATCCTGTTCATAATCTAGCTGACTGTACACACCACATCTTCCTGGAAATTCCAAAGTTAAGTCAGGGCTCATGTTCCCAATCCCAAGTGAACAATCAAACTAGAACATGACAAGAGATCGAGCCAATGTCCTTAGCCCAACCATTTTATTATAAATGATTTCTTTCAAAAACATATTGCAAAAACTCTTAGATCCTACTTTGAGATTGCATTCACACAAGTGTTCCTCCAATGTCCTATTCTTCACAACCCAAGATTTTTCATTTTTATTTAGGTAAAACTTTCGAATTTATAAATCCATTATTAAAAAAAAACATTTATTCCAAATTATATTTATTTAAAATCAGAGTATTATAGAAAAAGCGGAATCTTTAATGATGTTGATGAGTGTGTACAATCCCACCTTCGGCTTCCCATAAACACCGATGATCTTTGAAATAATAAACAACTGGATAAGCATGAATATTATTGAGTGTCCCCCAAAATACCACACATAACCAACAACATAAACGAGCAACGGGCCCAGTCATCGGACTGGAATGCCCAACTATACAAGGTTTATTGGCCTTACGCCTTAACCCAACCGCTCATCTTGAACCTCCGTGCCTATGTATTATAGTCGGCCCACACTAGGTATCTTGGCCTACAACAAAAATCACGACCACCTCAACCCAAACCAAACACAACATGTCGACATGTAAACAATCAAGGATCAAGTAGGCACGTAATACATGCAACATCAATCATAAAGCTCACTACTGCCTACAAGTCCTCTCACAGTATACAGTACAGCTAAATGTGGAACCACAAGTAACCAAAGGTGAGACAGCCACCCAAACAAATGATCCTACTCTAGAGCCACAACCAAATGAGGAACATGCAAGAAATCCTATACGAATAGTTCTCATGCTATCCTACATTACCACAGACAATCCCTACGGGCACTCCATAGTAACCAACAAGCACGGGTAACATATAACCCTACACATTACTATAGAAAAGCAACACACTCGATACTAGGATACAGATCTAAGGGATCACTACAGCATAGCTACATACTCGATATTAGGATACAAATCTAAATGATCACTAAATGTGACACCTAAACTTTTGAAAAAATTTTAAACTTTTAAAACCCATCTTAAATTAAATTAAAACAACTGAAATAGTCATAACATAATCCATCTACTTAATAATCATCTAAAATAAGTGTGGAAGTAATAATAATAATAAGGTCCCAACAAAAATAACTAGTAGCGATGTCCCGGTGCTCCTTGTCAAGCCTTAGCCCTTTAATCTTAACACCTGAAAAGTTATAAGGGAAACCATAAGCACAAAGCTTAGTGAATTCAAACACAGACATTGTACTAACATTCATATTTACTAACCCTAATCCATTTTCCAATTATAGTTATATAATAAGGGAAAAGAACGAATCAACGCCAATAATACAAGAAGGACTTGTAGGTTTGAGCCGCACTGGGAAGATCCCGTATCACTTGGCCCTAATCACCGCACCTCACGAGGAGTATTACGTTGGTGATCTTACCTACCCACCGCACTGGTAAATCCGTATCCTTTGCTGGTGTCCTTATATCCATGATTAGTTATATGCAGTGCACATGTACGAATTAAAACAATACTTATATAGCATGCTTTTATAATAAATTCAAATAATCACACACGAGCTAACTAGCAAACACAATCATCAATACAACGGTGTGAGAGAACTCACCTTTAGTGAGTAGTAAGGATAGCAAACAATCAAATAATGCTACCAAGCTTGAGCAAACTTCAAAACCTCACCTAAGAAGGACTAAAGGTTAGAAAGGAGAAGTAATGAAGCTATGAGTTGAGAAAAGAGTAATCACAGCAAGGTCTCTAAAACAGACCTGCTGTTCAAAACGGATTTACTCCAAAATCTATAACAGAAACATAGATTTAACTAAATTTTATAGGAAACTATGATTGCTCAGGATTCCACAACTATAAAGAACTCATTCTAACTCCAAAAGATGAATTAAATATGATTTTTACAAAATGGTGTATCACTTCTGTCTCCAACAATACAGTCAAGTGATTTTGGCCAATTCTACCCAACTTGTTAGTATAATTCGTCCAAACCAAAATTAATAGAAGTAAAGGACATAAAAATGAAAGTCTCAAAGTTTGAATTGAATGAAAAGCATCTCCCAAACTCCATATATAAAGTTAACATTGTGGACAATCACAGTGTGACAACCCGAAATTTCCATTTGTACGAACATTATCTATTCAATAGAAGCTAGTCCAGTTTCTGTAATCTTCAGACTTGTCCGAACGAGTTTGTGTACGTTAGGGCTTTACATTTCTGGACATATCGGGAGAAAGGATGCTCCTGTAATTGTGAAACTTGAACATTTTAAGTTTCATAATGTTATAGTCCGACTTCCGGAATAAAAATATTTTCTGTCAAAATATTCCAGGACTATAAATAGATTTCTGAATTTAATTAATTCATTATTCACAATTCCAACTAGAGAAAAGCCAATTCTCTCTGACGGATCTGCGGGTTTTCATCCCGGATTGTGAGTCTACTTTCCTAAACGTGTTTTAATACTTGTTATATGCTTTATAACATCATTTATATGTCTAAACTGCAAGATCCGAGAGTTTACCGCCCAAGAACGTTCTTGGGGAGTAAACTCCAAAACGGAGCCTAAAGGCTTCCTAGTCCCGATTCCTTGTTAGACAACTTGTTTAGGGTTGTGTATAAACATTTGGACTAAAAGCAACCAAGAAACACAAGTTATTGGAGTTTACGGCCAAGGAACTTCTTGGGCCGTAAACCCCTTTTTAGGGTCAAAAATGCCCTAACTTGCCTCCTTGAGCCTAAGGACTTTAACCACTAATGCTTGTGACTATTTTGGACACCAAAACACTTCAAGATCTTAGGGTTTTAGGAGTTTACGGCCAAGGAAAGATCTTGGGCCGTAAACCCCTTTTTCTTGTGTTAAACATGCCACAAACACCCCTAAGGCCTTAAGACAATTTACCTTGAACACATGGGACTTGAATGGGGATCAAAGACTTCATAATCACTCCTTAAAAGGAGTTTACGGCCAAGGAACATATCTTGGGCCGTAAACTCCAAGTGATGACCTAAATGTGTGCATCTTGTCCCTATTAGCCTTAGATAAAATCATGGAAGCCATCCTTGATGTGCAAGTGCCTCAAATGAATTAAAATCCATCACCCATAGGAGTTTACGGCCGTAAACTCTAGGGTATATGGACTATAGGCCGTAAACTCCCCTATGGAGCATTCTAGGGCCTTAAACTACTTCATGTATTATTCCAACAAAGCTAGGAGTGTTCTTGGATCAAGATAACACTTTAAAACACCCAAAACCACCATATGAGGAGTTCACGGCCATAAACCCATGAGTTTACGGCCGTAAACTCCAAAGGGTGGGGTTTGTTGGGTGGTGAACTCTTATGCAAGGCCATTTGATGTTTCAAACCCTTTTGCCTTGTCCCGTATCAACTTAGATGCAACCATTAGGACCTATAACACTTATACAAAGTGTATACATGTTCCTAATTGTGTTAACTTACTTTGTTAAGTTATTATGTGGCTAATTAGTTATATATATATGCTTATTATATGATAATTAGGCTCGAACGTGTGAACAAGTCTCCGTTTGACACT